TAATTATTAGATTATGGGTGATTACGTGTCGCGAATTATGAAACACGGATATAAACACAAGTGTAAATGCCTGTTTTCGATAATTATCATTTTGGTGGCGAGAAACATCTGGTTTTTAAAAAGAAAATATCAATTTCAATTATACATTAATGGTCACGTGATACATGTACTCCAGACTATGCTATGTCACGTGTTGAAGCACAGCGTTGTTGAGGGACTGCGGTTGGAACAATTGTGGGCGAGAAACTAATAACGTCACGGTGAAACGGAAGAAAAAATAACCAATTGTGAGCTTAAACAATTATAAAATGACGTATTGTTAGTATAATATCAATAAACTCAAAAACGAGTTCTTTTTTTTTTTGGGCTGCGCCTCGCGCACGATTATTCTTATTCAAATCGCCTTATACTAGCAATATATTACAATAACGTCACGTGAAATTAACAATGGTTGGAATGTAGCTACATTATGATTATAGTATGAAGGACTGGAAGAAGTTATTTTTTCATGACAACTTCAAAATTATATTGTTCACCGTTAAGTGTAAGTTGCGACCGGTTGGTGTGTTCAGATACCTTAAAAAAGGTGTTCACATTTGTTTACGACCTCGGAAATACTAGTACACGATGTCCATGACACCTTTGGATGCCGTAAAACAGTATAATGTGAAGTGTGCGGAAAGGGGAATTATTGAATTGCAAGAATGTCTCGTTAAAAGCATCCCTTTTCATATGGTATTGTGCTTATCAATTGGCCATCTTCATGATTTAGTATGCCATAAACTCGGCGGTCTCGGATCCCATTTGATGTGTCTTATATCGAGTATGCAACCAAAACTTGGCCACACCACCCGTTAAAATCAGCATCAGAGACCGTCGTTCAAATCACTCAAGGTCATCTTGTGCCTACGGATGCCGTTATAAAGTGGGTGTGTTGACAATTTAGAGCCGAGTTAAGTTTACTACTTCATTAGTTTACTATTAAGTGCCATGAAACTGAAGCATTTTGTGATTTGGGTCAAATGACGTTCCTCCGTGTTGGTTGGTTGCTCCGCAGATTGTACACGTTGAACTTTACCACTGGCGTGCACCGACAAGATGGTCTTATCCCAAACAAGCTGACACGTTACGACATGTCAATGAATATTCATTGACAACTTACTCTGGGTAGAGAATGTGAACTATAGATATTCTAGGATTCATTTTTTTTTATTAAACTTAAAGGACGGTAGTCGTCGCGCCACGCATGCGCAAGATATATGGGTCTTTTATAAACAAAGATGGCGACTTTGACTGTTGCACAGAGCAACGAGTACAAACTTAGACGTTACCAAGTTTTAATTAGGTATTTCATTAGGTGTTTAGAAGGTATCGAAGGAGTCACGAGCGGCAATTTGTGCTAGTCGCGTCCAGGTCGAACCTCATACTTGTGATTTCCATTAGAAAAGCGCATTGGATTATGGGAAAATCAATGTTCATCAACACAAATGTCGCACATGCGCAGCGCGACGACTACCGCCCTTTAAACTTGATTAAAGTCGGGAATAGATCACAAAGGTGGCACCTATACAATAGAAAATACAACTTGAATAATAAAAATAACAAAATATGGCAAAAATAATAATGCAATACATTTCGTGAAGTTGAAATGGCTAAGCCAAGTGCGCGATTCATCGGATATACACTCGCTGTCGAGAAGATAAGAAGCGACACCGTGGCGAAACGCACTGCCTAAAACAATCTCCCGAGAGAACGGGCGCGATTATTCTGAGGGAACTGAATTATTAACGGTTGTCTTTCTTAATTTCCTGTTTCAGTTTCTGGACAAGAATTCTGGAGACGTTAAAAACAAGGACCCATGTAATGCCAAAAAGCCTGGGAGGCGAGTTCCTTACAAAGTTTCGACATAGCAGGCCCGCCAAAGGTCAAACAAAGACGAAGGAAACTACGGTAGAAAAAAGTCCGACACTTGCGGGCAGTTCTCCCAATCATCAAGTAGAATACAAGGAGTTACAATTACCCATCATCCAAACTTCTTACGGAGTCATGACGTCACCGGAGGAAACTGCAAATGAGTCTACGGATGAGCGCCCATGTTCATCGGAGTCATCCGACTCGGAGTCACTAGCGCCGCTTTTGTCCGAGCGGGTGGAAAGGCAGCGGCCAATGGGTGTCGAGGGAACCGAAATACGCGCAGCAGTCAGAAATGGAAGGTCGTGTCTCGATTTACTTTACGGGCCGAGCGTGAAGTTTCCATTTTCCGTCCAAATCGTTCACGACGGGAGCGGCGTGCACGGTAGCAAGCGGAGTTACCAGCCGCCGCTTAAAAGGTCGTCGTCAGTACCGATTCGAGAAATGCCACCGATAGAGGGCGTTTCTTCCTACAGGGTGAAACTGAGCGACGCAAAAACGCGCAAGAAACCGTTCAAAAGTTCCAGACATGCCGACACCGACAAATACGTCACAGCTGCTCGGGAGAATTTCGAAAAAGCGCGGGAAAAGTTCTTCGGCAGCCGACCGACATCGAGCAGTATGAAGAACCGTGCTTCAGTGGCGTCGGTGAGAGAGTGGGACTTGCGGGAAGGTATACGAGAGCCTCCCATGCCCACTGATTCTACTCAAAACCCTCCGAACTCTACAAATGACTTTACTGAGACCTCCGACGAGAAAATATTGAAAACTAAAGTTGCTGAAAATGTACAAAACTCATCGAGCATTCCCTCGGAATCGATTGGCATAAACTTTGACGAACATGAAATAAGGGGGATTGCCATACACGAGAGAAGAACAGAGGTCAACCCTAAAGATAATCCAGATAGTGTGCGGTGGAAAAGTAGCGTTTTGCACCAGAAACCGAACATTAGCGAGGGTGGGCCAAAGAAAAGAGGAAAGCAGCAGTTAGAAATGACTGTAAACGAGTACCGGAATCGGTTCAGTCTGAAAGAAGAAGAGAAACAGCTGCAGGAGAAGTTGAGGGCGTCCCTGCGACTATCACCAATGAACCACTCAGTTAGCGGCGTCAATGAAAACAAAGAACAGCCAAAGAAACAACAAGCCCCGTCAAAATCATCCACTGTGCGACAGGGACCAATCAAGTTGCGTATTATGGAACTGTCAGACGCCCGGATTCGGGATAAGGATGTAGAAACTAAGCTTGGTATCAAAGGAAAAGCCACGGGCCCCGAAACGAAATCTAATCCAGTGTTGTACAGGGAAAAAACAGATAGCTCAGGGAGTCAGCAAAGCGAGCCATCGACGCCACGGCGAGGCAAGCTCGTCGAAGTGCCAAAGTTTTTGCCAACCCATATCAAAATGACAGAAATGAACACGGTTATTGTAGAGGGAAACCCCTACGTCACGGAAGACCAACACAAAGCTTTTGTTGGATCCAATAAAACGAGAACCGCTTAACATTTGACGCTTGGTGACGTCCTTTCTGGTGGTGCATTTCCCTCTGGGTGTTTGTGATAGTGGTAACTGTGGTTGGCAGTTCTTGGCGGCCATAGATTTTTATTTTCTTGATTTTGTGTCTCGTACGTTCGTTATTAAAAAAAAACATGTAACTGTCATTTTGGGCGCCTGTCAGATTCGGCCATAATTACCAAACCATTGGTTCAACTTCAACAAGACTTTTTTTACAAAAACCTACACGTGCAATGTTGTAGGCTTACATCATTCCCGCCTTCCGTTTTTAGCCCTACATTTGAGAAATGTAACTTTTTTGTGTGCAATCCGTCCAACACACTTGTCCTGATAACAATGTTCTTGTAGTTATTTGTATTAATCCGCGATGTTGTCGAAACAGCATATTATCTGCATTTACTTGCAGATTTTAAATTCGATTCCAAAAAAACGAAAACATCGTCACTGGCAAAAGCGACACGATGTGGCGTTGTTGCAAAAAATATCTACTAGTATGTATACTCTGCTATAATACATCTCACATTCATATCATATATATTCATATTTTGGTGTTATTCTCAATAGCACGATAATCGCTAACACAGAGCTCCTCTTACTGGGCCTTTAAAATGGGTTTTCGATCCGCTAAACCGCCCAAGCCGTCATGACATGTCGTGTTCAATACCATGTGTACAATGCCACGTATACAACAATACTGTTTAGTTACACGATCTTTGAACACGTGGCTTAACGACTGGGACGTTTTCAGTGATTTATTTTTGATAATGTAAAGATTTACATCATCTTTTGTAATTTCCACTTGCTGGAAATAGTGACATATTTTTAATAAAAACCCGTAAAGCTTAAAAAAAAACATTATGATAATGCTGCTTGTTTGTGCTGAGGGCGACAAGACGCGATATATTCGAACCGAATTCAAATGTTGCGCTTAGAAGTCCACTAAATTGTTATTTGTTATCAAAATAGGGATTCTTATCAATACAATGTATGACTTTTTTTTCTAGTTACCATGGCAGCGTTTACCCCATACGGATTGAGACACAACATTTCAGGCTCTTCTTTCCCGAAGACTTTTCTGGTGCCCCAATTAATGGCATGGACGCACAATAATGAAAACATTAAATCACAAAATTGAAATCTTTCACAATTTTTTATTCATCTCGGCCATCGCGATTACAATGTGAGACAAAGTGTTAACTTATCCGATGCTAGCGGAGCGTAGTTACGTTTGGCGCGAATGTTGCAGTTACCATGCAGGATATGACGATGAACATCCGGGGTATACACGTTACATTCGTCACGTAGCGCGCGCGTCAACGAGGAATGCCTCCAGTACATTGAATGGGGCCCATGCCAAAACAGGACGCGGCGTGACGCCTTTGACGCTTTGGGGAAAGACATGTACGTGGTGATGTTAAAGACATTCACACAATTTCCGCCGTAGCTGGCGTAGAATGATAGTTAAATTATCACCTGATCAGTTGTGAGGTCTACAAACAATATAATGCACCTTATTGGTTGACAATAATGTAATATGCATTATATATGTATGAAAATTGCCATCTCTGTTGAAAACTACTAAATTCTACCATTTTATAAAATATAACACTGTATACCATTTTTTTTCCCGCCCGGGAAACAGCTTTTCGCGTGTAAACGAAAAAGATAGCCGCTACCTTACGGAAACGCCTGACTAATAAATGTTACCGTGAGTGAGTGAAGCGTGTATATATCTTTCCTGTAATCGCGCCCCCTAGTGACAAGTCACCTCTTTGATTTCAACGGGTGACATAGACGAATTTCCCGGAAGTCGAAGATACGGGGTTTCGCATGCGCGCACATGCTGTTTTGGGGTGTAACGTAAACTTGCAGGCTTGATACTGTGCTTCTTGGTGTACCAAACGACGTCACAAAAATAAAAATCTCTTCTATTGACTATCAGAAAACGGACATGTTTTTTTTTTTCAATCATGACAAAGCGGGAGTATTTTTAGATCCCACGGTCTCGCTAATTTTCTAAGTTGTCTATGGATCTTGTTCAAAGCGTTGATATCGTTTTGATCTGTAGTCATCTATAAATAAAGATTATGTTTTTGGACGACATTGGCTGATCACGTGACAGCCACTCTATCCCCGGTCTGGAAACGCTTATTTTGTTTGATCAACTGGATTAAGTGGGACAACGCTCGTAATGGCAGCCTATGTCATGGTTTTGGCAAGAATGAAGCTAATTCTTACGAATAAGTTTAAATTATTTCACAATTTGACAGTATCGTTTTTTCTGCGTGATGCTCCTCCCTTGGTCTCCCTCCCTATTTCTTTTTAATACGCTGTGATGTTTATGTCGCCGACATGTGAACGAACTCGGTGTTTCTGTTCCTGTTATTCTTTGTGAACTAACGTTAGTAATGTTTTATTTTGCAAAGGGTTTTCTAATATTTATATTAATATTGATATTATACTTCGAAGAATAAAGTTGAATATCATGATAAGAACGATGTTGTGCTTTTCATTTTGTGGGTGGCCATTTACAGTTTTCGCAACGGATACATAAGTGTAGCGCAACTGCCCCAATTACGAGTGCGTGGCATAACTCCGCCATAGAAAATATATTTGGTGGTTAGAAAAACCGGTTTCGAAAATTGTAGGGTGGTTTAATTGTATTTTAATATTAAATACATCACTGTACTTAACCCGAATACGTCATTTTATGTCACTAGAGGGCGCGATTTAGAAGAAAGGTGTGTTATGCACGTCTTTCACTAAGTTGTGCCACGATTACTAGCAATCGTGACATTACATCCAGTTTACAGAGAATTAAATGTCAACTTCATTTTACTGAAAAAATATAACTGATATTTGAGTGCTTAATAAAATATGAATTTTCCATTGTTTCCGCCCGGGCTCGAACCGGGGACCTTTCGCGTGTTAGGCGAACGTGATAACCGCTACACTACGGAAACTCATGACTGGCAAGGCGAAGATAAGTTATCATTTGCACAATTATTTATTAAGAGTACAGACACAGTCCAGATTGGCAGAGATATAAATCCGCATACTAGTATATAGTAGTACCATTCGTAGTCAGCTAGTGGTTAATAGCGCACTCTATTTAATCTGTATGGCAGCATATTCGATCTACTCAGTTTTCTTTCAGTTATATATTTTATTCAGGAACACTCACGCATTGCGCTGAATTAATGGTTACAAAATGGAGTGTAAGAAACAAAGAAAAACAACGTAAAATCGAATAGGACAAACCACTAGAAAAAACAAGCACTCAAAATCAACTGTAAAGATAATTACAGTACAGAGTGTTTAAACTGTGTTTTAAGACTTGAGTGATTTTAAAATCATAGCTGTGGGTTATCTCATTAGCTAAATCGGGCCCAAATCGCAAGACTCCGTCATCGTTCAGTACTGTGAACAGCGCCATCTAGAGACTATCCTCGTCCAGGCGGAACCCAACAAAATCTACGGCATCTATTGATTGCTGTAGTTCAATGAAGCCATGTTTTTTTTCGATATTTTTTAAAATGATCATGCGCGGCAGGACATTTAATAAAATCACTCTGGCTACACCGTTTACGTGGCCTTATGTTGTTTACGTAGTAGTGATTTCAGCTGTATCATATAATACAGTATCATATCGTACTCACCGGAAATCGTTTTGTTTTTTTTTCAATTATTTTAATTTCAAATCGCATCATCTCACGTTATGTGTATCGGTAGATTTGGCGTTGAATTTGTGTTGTTGTTTTTTTTATTCACTTTTTTAACCAGGAGTGTTGGCCACGTGTTAACTGCCAGTGGGTCTCTCGGTCTGACACTATGCGGCGAATTGTTACCCATTAAACGTGCACTAATATTAATGACAGCGATTTTAAAATAATATGAAAATTATCTTCGAAATCTTGTTTATTGTAACAGACGGGTATGATGGATATACGATATGACACAAGAAGAAAATACGGCAAATAGGGCGAACATTTAATATCTGAACCGCTACACGTTTACTGTGACATTATCGTCTTATATGTCAATCGTAACCCTCACTCAAAATTTAATTCGTTCCATTATTAAATTGTATTCCCGATTCAAATTTATTGGATGGTGGTATAGCCCGATTCCCGTAGCCCCGCTGTTGAGAGGCTTTGGTTTTTATGCACGCAACGAACATGGTAATCACTTTTAGAGAGAGAAAAAAACGTCCCGCTGGTCCCGCGTCGTCTTGCCTCGGGCTCTTAAATGCAAACACGGATTTATAGCGGTCGTAAAACTGGGATAGGATAAGGTCTATGCAAACGTACAAACTGAAAACGTGGATCATAAATATTGCCCCGCCGACTTGTACTTAGGAAATGTGGGGGCTCACCAAATGTAATTATAACTCTCCGAGCATCTTCAGTATGAGTAACTAACTTAATTAGGGCGCCTCTTTAATCGCATTAAAACTAACTAACGATATTATTTTTCAATTTTTTTTTTTTTTTTCATTTCGCAATTGTCGATTTATAACGTTGAGTGAGTGTCGAGATCAAACGCATGCCTGTGGGATGAAGTAACGCGGGACGGGCAGATATCGTGGTATCTCAAATTTACGTCTTTTTGCATGTTACCAACAATACAGTCAGTCATATTATATCTTACTGATCATTCCCTTCGAAACTTAGGTTATTACTTTTCTCTATTCATAATTTCTTTCATTTGCTATTTGCTAGGCATGTTGGTTGAACCGTGGCGAAATTATGTGGGTACGTTTGAGTAAGGGTGGGTACATTGTATCATAGACCTTAGAAAGAGATAGGTCTATGATTTTATATACCTAGCATAGTTTGTTGTTGTTGTTGTTGTTGTTGTTGTTGTTGTCGCTGTTGTGCCGTAACTGGTTAACTCTTTGTTAATTTTCGCACTTGTTTGTTTGTCTGCTTTCGATTATTTTTTGTCATTATTTCTCCTAATTATAAAAAACAATTATGGGTTATTGC